CAGTGGCCCTATGGATGAAATCAAACATGCAAATGTCGCCGGTGTAACCGACAAGAATACTTGACTGAGAAGGTCAATACGCCATTAGTTACTTAGAGTAATAAAAGGTCGGTTTTTAGAGCCACATTTGTTGGAAAAGTTCAAATAGCAAGTGTATTTTAGAGATGGTCTTTTGGTCAGAAAGCGCACTTAAGTGAAGTGACAAAGACGCTCGAGGAGCTGGAGCAGGTTTTGTCAGCAACTTCCATGCCTGAGACGGTGATAGAGACGCGCACTTCAAAGACACGTTCAAAGAAGACAAGCTCCAAATGTTACCGACATTTATCAGTTTTTAATGGCGCCAAATTTGCCCGCAATGCGATGGGGATGAAAGTTGCTTTTGCCTAGAATTCACTATGCAATGCGACCAACCTAAATGGTTCGAGTGTCTGACTTTCACACTGCCGCCTGGGGTTGTGAATTTGGAAGCAAAAACATGCTTTCTATCCAGTCATTTGTGAGCAGATCCGCGGCGAGTCGATCAACCTCATTGGAAAATGATGGGCACCAACGACAATCAAGACTCTTATGGTTGAGAAACTGTCTACCACGAGTACCGATTATTTAGTAGGTCTGTGTGAAGTGAACCTTAACCAAAGGAATCTTGGCCTGTTGAGATGGTACGTTTAATTGCCATTGAGAGAAACGGAAAAACACAGGCATGTTCATTAATTCACAGCGTATGTACATAACAGACACTAGGCGCTAAATCCAATGAAGTGAGTCTTGCTTACAGACGACACATACGGCCTTAGTTTTTCAAGTGGTATCATGCACAAGAAGCCACAATGCCAGCTGGAAAAATCGTCAAGACAAGTATCCGATGCGACAGAGACAGGCCAATATGGAGCGTGTGATGCAAAATGGGTGTCGAAAGGTTAGTTCAGAAGACTAGAATTCAGGCGGCCTTGACCAGGCAGTTTTCACAAATGCTGACGAGCAAGCAAATTTGAGAAAAGTTGGTTGCAAATAGAAATGCGAAATGTTCCATTTGTATAAAGTAACTTCCTTGGAGCCGCGTATGCCACATTATCTAGTTCGAGTGATGACATAAAAGCTCCTGATTGGCCATATTTGAATCTTCGAGGTATGCATGCAAGCCCAAGGGGACTTGATAATGCTCAAATGTGCCATGGGCAAATGGCGGATGGGCAGACGGTGTGGATTGTGCCTCCAGTTGGAGCTGAAAATAGGCACTCTCAACAAAGGGTTATTGGACAAAGGAACCAATTGACCACACGAAGAAAGCAAATTCACGCAGACGACAAGCTCTTTCACATGTACACACATGTCACCAAGACTGGGGGCAATAACCTTTTGGCTACTTCACGAGGCTGGGAGGCCGGCAAAAGAGAAATCACCAAAGTGTCCTTGATTGTTGCTTTGCGTGAATTCATTGTCATGCGTCAAATTGGGTTGGCGGCCATGGCAACAAGCATACATATCCGTCACTAGGTACACATTATGTTGTTGTCATGCTCCGACCATTCTGCCGACGAGAAGAGCTGACCTGCTGAATGATGTCATGCGTGGATAGGGAGAGAGATGCGTATCTGATTGCTTATGTACACCTGTTGACCGGACGGCATTCAGGGTTGCACCAACGAACCCTTCAAGCACAGAATGGTCGGCTTGATTCGCTGAAAGTGGCAGACGAGTCAGTTTGGTCGAGACGAGTCGCGTCCATTCGACGGGTCAAGGCGGCGATGGCGACTGTGGCGACGGTAGCGACGGTATCGACGGTCTTGACGACGTCGTTGTTGCCGAGGTCGGGTGGGCCGGTTGGCGCCAGTTGGTCGGAGCCAAAGACTCCGGCATCATTTGCGCCTGAGACAGAGCGTCGGGAATGTTGGCTCGTCGACGCTTCTGCAAGAGACGATGCTCCCGAGACAGACTGTCGATGCGGACTTGTGCTTGAGCCGCGATGAGGTCCCAAGCGTTCTGGACGAGGACACGTTGACAACGGGCCTTCGAGGCCGAGCTGAGACGACAGAGCAGCTCCAGCTTGAGTCGGTGCACCGCCTCCTCGAACGACCAACTGGAGCCGACCAAGACGGCGTGGCACTCGGCCTCCGTCGCCTCGGGCACTTGGTGCCGCAGACGCAGGACCAAGCCGCGCTGGAACAACTGCAGATACTCCTTGCCCGTCTCCGACCTGCCTCGGCGCAGGTTCATCGCGGCCAGTTGTCCGTTTGTCGGTGCCCGTTGCTGCGTCGGCTCGGGCTGATGCGGCGAGTGTGACTGTTGCCGTGGCTGCTGGCGCCGCAGCAGCCAGTCCGTCTCGGCGTCCCGCAGACTTGGCCCAGCCGAGCTCTGCGGCAGGTTGACGTAGGCCAACGCGTAACCGTGCCCTCGGCTCGTCTCCAGCACACTCGGACTCGGACACATCATCGGTTGCCAGGCGCCGGGTGTCAACAGTCGGTTGGTGTCTTGACAACCAGCCGGCGCCCGGTGACGCAGATGGTAGGAACGCGGGGAATTGAGCATCCAATAGTGCGTGTTGCTCATCTTCACGCCGTTCTGCATGACCGGACAGATGCGGATGCCGAGGCCGGAGGAGGCCGCCTCGACGACGCCGTGTTGCCGGGCGCCTGGGTGGTAGGGTTGCGGCGTCTGGAGCAGGGCTGGCTCGGGCCGAGGTCTGGAGGCGCGCAGCGGCGGTACCGGCGCACAATCCAACGACTCGAACTCGAACTCGGACTCGGACTCGGGCCCGTCAAAAGTGCTGCAAGACAGCGAGACGCGTTGCGTCGACGGCAACGAGTTGTTCCAGGCCTCGGAATGCGAGCCGACGACAAACGACTTGGACGGCCGCAACACTGCTCGCCTCCGCCAGACGACGTCGCCGTCGCCGTCGATGTTGGCGTTGACGTTGACGTTGGTGTTGGTGTTGG